GCCGCGTGGCGCTTCGCCGAGGAGAACAAGGACAAGCTCCGCTTCGACGTCGCCGTCCTCAACCCTCCCTTCGTGTGGGGCCCGTTCATACACGAGGTCGACAAGCCCGAGAATCTCAACCAGTCCATGCTCGATTGGTACGACACCGTCGTGAAGGGCACTAGGCCGGAAGAGCAGCTGACCAGCGTCAGGTGTGTTGCGATGACCGTTGAGGCCATCACTAGTCTGACATTCGCTACAGCTCCTGCTTCGTCGACGTCCGCGATCTCGGTCTCGCCCACACCCTCGCCTTGGAGAAGGAGGAAGCCGGTGGCGAGCGCATCATCGTCTCGAGCGGCCAATGGAACTGGCAGGACTGGAGTACGCATATATGCACCATTCTTGCGCATATACCCATTCATGAACCTCCTTTTCCTAGTCAACGCTGCGCGCAAGGTGGAGCCATCCTTCCCACCAGGCAAGACGTCGTACAACCAGAAGGAAGCCGTGTATTTGGTCAACTACGACACGTCGAAATGCGCTCGCATCCTCGGCCTTCAACTGCGCGGCTTGGACGAGGTCGCCGCCGACATGGTCAAGCAGTTCAAGGAGAGGGGGTGGGTCCAGTAGACTGGCAGACTTCGCACCAATTTCGTCGCACCAACTTTGTAAGAATAGGCTCAGTGGATATCTGAACTGTACACCAGCATGATACCTGCGTTATTGAAGGACATAGCTCATCGCAGCGTCTGATCGATGCATTCCCGAGATCGTGCGGTTGATCGTCTCGTTGTGGCGTATGCGCGCACTGACTTAGCGAATTTCCGCCGCACCCCTGCTGGGCTGCGTGCAGCACGAAAGTACGGTTTGCTTCCAAATTCGCCTAGATCACACTGCAAGCGTCATGCTCACTAGCCAATGTAGAGCGATGGGCGGTAGAGTCGGCGGCGTGGCGTTTGGTCCTTGGGAGGCAAGGCGCTTTCGGTGCGCCCGCCTCTTCGCCAGCCCCGCTCCAATTTACCCCCGGTCCCCAAGCCCAGCGACGTAGCCAGTCACGCATCCGGTCATAAAGTGACGTAGCGAGCGACGCGCCCCCGCCACACGGGCGCTGTCGATCGCATCCGCCGAAAGCGTCGCACCCGCGGTGGCGCGCGCCGCCCTCCTCCAGCGGATGCACCGCACGTCGCCACCGCGGAAAGCAGGCCTAATCCATGCTCCCGGCCACGCGCCCCGCACGCAAGGACACGCGCTGGCGTCGAAGGTCAGGGCGCGCGAGGTCACTCACGCATGCGCTGCTACCCGCGTGCTTCTTGGCGCGCTTCGTGTGGCGTCGGGCTCGAGATGCTGCGCGTCCCGCGCGAAATTTGTGCGAGGGCCCAGGCACACGGGGCGGGTGCGGCAGCTAATGGCCAGGAGAAGTGCGCTCGTCGACGCGCGGGTGCCCTGTGCATTGCGTACCACCGCCGCCTCCGTGCCTGGGATCCGCCGCACGGAGGCATGACGAGGGCAGGCACAGGAGGCGGGGGACGAGGATAAAAGCATCCCCTGCACGGCGGGGGTCTTCACAAACAGCGACTTCTCTCCTCCGCGGCAGCTCTACCTCAGAGCGAGTTCAGCTACCTTTACGACCTCTAATTCTTACGCACCTCACGAACATCATGCACTTCACGACGCCCTTCAGCTCGCTCATGGCCGCGGTGCTCCTCGCGCTCTCGGTCGCCGAGGCGCGCCCCGTCGGCACCGGCCTTGTCGCGCGGTCCCGTGAGTTCCCCGCATCTTCGCACACTATGCCACTCTGACACGCCCCGCAGCGCAATACCAGAGCACGCCGTACCCCTGCTACCAGTCGTCCCCGGGCTTCGGCGGGAGCAGCTCGTGCGACCCCGCGAGCGCGGACCCGTCCAGCGGCACGGGCGACAGCGGCAACGGCAGCGCGGACGACGGGTACAGCAACGGCACCGGCCCCGACGTGAACCAGCCGTGCACCGACGGCACCTGCCAGACCCCCAGCGACGGCAGTGACGGTTCCGGCGACGGCTCTGGCGACAACGGCAGCGGCGCTGGCAACAACGGCGACGGCTCTGGCGATAACGGCGACGGCACCGGAGACAACGGTGACGGCTCGGGCAACAACGATGGAAGCGGCAACGGAGATGGGTCGGGTAACGGCGACGGGTCAGGGACCGGTGACGGGTCGGGCAGTGGCGACGGGTCGGGCAATGGCGATGGGTCGGGCAACGGCGACGGCAGTGGCACGGGAGACGGGTCGGGCGATGGCAGCGGTGACGGCGATGGCTCGGGTGGCTTCTTCGGCCGCCTCAACAACAGTATCAACGGCGCCTTCGGCAACGGTGACGACTCGGGCGACGGCAGCCTGGCCAACGTCAACGCCAACGCCGGCAACAGCGGTGACGGCAGCGGCGATGGTAGTGGCGATGGCAGCAACGGCGGCCTCGTCAACGTCAACGCCAACGCCGCGAACTCCGGCGGCACCACCGACGGCACCAACGGCGGCCTCGTCGATGTCAACGCCAACGCCGCGAACTCGGGCGACGGCTCCACGGGCACCAGCGGTGACGGTAGCCTCATCAACGCCAACGTCAACGCTGCGAACTCCGGCGGCACCACCGACGGCACCAACACCGGCCTCGTCGATGTCAACGCCAACGCCGCGAACTCGGGCGACGGCTCCACGGGCACCAGCGGCGACGGCAGCCTCGTCAACGTCGATGCGAACGCCGCGAACCAGGGTGGTTCCACGGACGGCACCGGCACCGGTCTGGTGAACGTGGACGCCAACGCTGCGAACTCGGACGGCTCGAGCGGTTCCACAGACGGCTCCGGCAGCCTCGTCGACGTCGATGCCAACGCTGCCAACGGCAAGTACTCCCCCTACCAGTCCTTCGACTCGTTCGGCGACTCCGGCAGTGATCCCCTCATCAGCGCCGACGCCAACGCACTCAACGACGGGTCGGACGAGACGGAAAGCAACGGTAGCCTCGTCGACATCGATGCGGATGCTTTGAACGACGGCGACTTCTCGAACGACGTTGGCAACGGCAGATTGCTGAACGTTGGCGTTAACGCTCTCAACGGGGGTTCCTCTGGCACAGGCGGGGGTATCGGTGGAGCTGTTGGCGGCGCTCTTGGATCCCTGGGTCTTCGCCGTCGGTAATCAGGCATAGTCCTTGCAATCTGTAACATTATGTAGTTTTATTAGCAGATCACTTGTGATCGTGTTCAATCCATACCCTATCTTTCACAAACTTGCCGTGTCAACTTGCTTCGGGCGTGGTCGCAAGTCAAAGTTCCTTCATTAATCTCATCGATCCTGGAGCGCACTATGTCTGTTGTCCAGGATATTGTTGATGAAAACGCATCTGCGATCGAAATTTGTTCAGATTGTTCCAGCGGCGGCGACACTGTTCTGCTTGTTAGTGTCCGTTATAGTTGTACAAGCCAACAAAGATCGACATACTTCGGCTGCCGTATTCGCTTCAATGTCGTCCGCGTAGCATGGAGCATGCATCATGTGGCGGTCGAGCTGTTGACTTTGTGTGAGACGGTACGCAACACGGATTCTCTTATAGCTGCTGTAGATCGCGTCGAGGGCGTCCAGCTCGTACCCGGGCCACAAAGCGCGCAACAGTCAGGTGGATGCAGGAGGAGATATAAGCAGTGTTACAACAGTTATGATACTGGACCGTCGTGCGATAAAACATGGCAACAAATCATCTACCGCTGCTCCCTCGGTTCTGTGAGGGTAGAGCGTGAGCAGTGATCCAGACAAGACCAAGGCAGGCGACGTACGTGACCACTGCACACTCAGGATCAGGTTGTCGTAACCACGTCCGTTCGTCTTCTCCATCGCCTTCTGCGCCACAGACTTGTCCTCGAAGCTGACAAAGGCGAAACCCTTGCCCGCGCCCGTCTCCCTGTCGCGACCGACGTACACTCTCGCCACGCGGCCAAACGCACCGAAGAGGTCGCGTAGGTCGTTTTCCTGGGTATCCTCAGAGATGTTGGTGACACGGAGAGTGGGGAGATCGTCGCGGTTGCCACCTGGCCGGCCCATAGCCTCTCCGGGCCCGCGAGCGCCGCCGCCGCGCATCGAAGGGGGGACGTACTTTCCGCCAGTCGTTGGTGCGGCGGGTTCCTGAGGTGCGGCGGTATCGTCTCCGCCGAAGGGAGGGGTATCTACCATAATCTGTGTAAGGTATTGAACCCGACACAGTAAGCGTTACGCACCTGCGCCATCCAGACCCGGAAGAGAGTCCTTGTAAGGACATTTTGCTGTGAAGTGATCACCCTTGCAAAGACGACACACAACCTTTCCAGCACCAGCACGCGCAAGATTGCTCTTCATGGCTTGCTCAGCAGATTGCTCGGGCTCGGATTGCTTGTTACCGGCGCTGAGCTTCAGCATAACGCTCTCGCCGACGGTAGTGGTAGCCCTGTCGGGGCCTGGCTTGTTGCCCTTCTCTGCGCCGAACTTGGACCAGGTCTTGCGCTCTGCAACCGTGTGGTCTACGACTTGCTTTTGAAGGGTACGCTTGATCTTCCGTGTAATCTATTGCATAGAGAGCAGAGACATAGACACGGATTTGTCAGTATGGCGCTTCGAAGGTATCGCGCAGCGATCTGACCTTGACTTTCTTGCCCTCATCGTTGACAGTGTACTCGACCGTGGTGCGGATTCCATTCTCGTCGACGTAGTCCTCGCCCTTGGGTTGCTCTACGAAGGTCCGCAAGTGCTGTTAAGCCAAACCCTGGCAGGACAGTTCGGGATCGGTACGTACCGAGCTCGTCGATTTCGTCTGCCCAGGAGGTTTTGGGTGCTCTGTGTATCCATCAGCACTGTGCAGGGGGAGGCCAAGGACGTGGATAAGGATACGTACGTGCTGGCCATGGTATACGAGTGGATGTTACAGACGAGCCTGCGCGCAGAGAAATGTCCCACAAGAGCAATCGAAAACCAAGGCCATTACGATTGACTGCCTTTGCATATGCTTGAATGCTATCCCCTGATAGCTCAGTTGGAAGAGCGTAAGACTGTAATTGGTTATCCACTGGCATCTTAATGTCGCCTGTTCGAACCAGGCTCAGGGGATTCGTTTTGCGCCGTCTCCTCGTACATTGTCGTACACAGTGCAGACTCCAGAGTATATTTTATAGCTTTGAGGGCTTTGCAATTTTTTCAACGGCAGTGCAGGAACTGAGCGCTGAGCCTCCATTTACATTTCTCGCTTCGACCTGACCGCAAGGTTCTAAGTTAACGGGCACCGCTCGCTTGTTCGAACCAGGCTCAGGGGACCACTTTTACGTCTTGTGTCTCCAAGTTTTGTCTCTTCCCTTCTTTCCCCTCCCCTCGAATCGAAAGGCTGACGAGACTTCATGAGGGCTCAAAGCTGAACGATATATATTGTCTTGCCGTTTCTCTGTCAGGACCCAGCTTGTGACCGTCCGGACTCCTCTGCATGTCAATCTTCAGCTCGTCCCGCGCTTGTCGTGGCCTAATCTCAACCTCCATCTCGAAAGCTTGAGGGGTCGACGCAGCCGACTTTTGGCAGCCATGTGCCGGTGATAATGCGACACATAGCTCCCGACCCGAATGCCAAGAGCATCACGTACGCCAATCTTGGTTCTCACCTTCGCAAGCCGGTGAGTCGAACGGGTCCGCATAGCAAGGCCGCACCGGCAGCCTTTGGTACGGAGAGGGGCCTAGATGGACTCTTTTTAGGTAAGATCAAGTGCCAAGACTCTCACAGAAACAAGCAGTATCTCTAACATCGAGTCGGTTTGATTTCAGGTAGTTCTTCTTGCCAGGGCCATTCCCACTCGGCATTCGGAACCCTGGGACTGGTTCACCGGGAGAGAGCTTTGGAACAGGCACAGTGCCCATCGCATCCGCGTATGGGGTGTACGTGCCCTGAACCTGTGCAGGATACGCATGCTATCCAGGTCAGTCAAATCCCTTCTGGTCATATCCGCTTGCTGTTGTAAGCCGTAATGAGGTCGAATCATGCAGGGTTTCTGAGCCCGCGTGGGCTGTACTCTCATATGAGGCGTATCGTGGGCGAGATACATATTTACTGTGCATGCAATATCACTGTCTCGAGTTGAAGTGGCGGCCAGAGTTCATTCCAGGAACGAGGCCAAGTATGCGTACGACGCCTCTGTGCGCGACGACTCGAACTCAAACATGTCGGTGACACTTGAACGCAAGTTGGGTGTGCTCAACTGGGTACGGCTCCGAACCATGGTCAAGGGACGCAATGCAACCTGCGGGCTTGTCTTGCAGGCTGTGTTGATCCACTCATTCCGCTCCCATGAGCTCTGGCGGCCCCGTCCCTAGGTAAGCACGACAAATCCGTATCGCAAGGCTTGTTTATAATTTCCACCAGCACACGCTGTTTTTCTCCCAAGGGCAAGGCAGAAGAGAGTCCTCGTCGTTCGCGACAGCATGGCACGCAACCCGCCGCACTGGGTCTAGCCCACGATGCTGCAAGGCTCCACCCACACTCATGTGAGCTCTCAAAACCGGTCGCCCGTCATTGGTGCGCCCTCGAGCGATGCATCGCCCCAATCACGTTGGGTACCCGACGCTCTGGATGTGAGTGTGTCGGGCCAACCGAACCAACGGATCGCTCGACGGCTCCGGGCACAGAAGCTCCACGCTCCTGTGAGCTCGCGTGAGTACGCGCCTATACCTTGTTCATTACTCAACCAAGAGATTAAACTACGCCTCGAAGTGGACAGCCCTGGCAGGTATAAAAGATGGCCTGTCGGCGAGCAGAGGCCTCAGGACACCAAGGTCTCTCCTGGCTCTTCAGGTTATCTAGCTTCTGGATTTTGCAATGGCGTTCCGTACTCTCCTTGCTTTTGTAGCTCTCGCTGCCCTCACTCGCGCCGCGCCGACGGCGGAGAGTGCTGTCTGCCCTGACGGTACTCGCGTCACCAATCAAGCATGTTGCGCATTCATCCCGGTGAGCCAGTAATATTCCTCCACAAACTGACGACAAACTGACCGCTTTATCCAGCTTGCTCAGGACCTTCAGCAAACCGTCTTCCAAGGAGATTGTGGCGAGGATGGTGAAGTAGCATATCACGTTCTCTGACCCCTGACTGACATTCGATTTACAGCTCACGAGGTTATTCGTCTCACTTTCCGTGAGTAGCATACCCGCAGCCCTTCTTCTCAACCTCGTACTGAGACGCAAATTTTAGACGATGCTATTGCGATTTCCCAAAGCCAGGGCCCCAAGGCGTGAGCCACCATCTTCTCCTCTACTGTAATCTCCGGTTGCTCATCCACCCTGACCCGACAGAGGCGGCGGTGCTGACGGCTCAATGCTGCTCTTCCCGACGATTGAGCCCAACTTCTCGGCCAACAACGGCATCGACGACTCTGTCAACAACCTGATCCCCTTCATGCAAAAGCACAACACCATCAGCGCCGCCGACCTCGTTCAGTTCGCCGGTGCCGTCGCGCTCAGCAACTGCCCGGTAAGTCTTGGCTGCGCTGTGATATCATGTGGTGGACACTTACCTTCTGCAGGGAGCGCCGCGCCTGGAGTTCATGGCTGGTCGCCCGAACAAGACCATCCCCGCCGTCGACGGCCTGATCCCCGAGCCACAGGACAGCGTCACCAAGATCCTGCAGCGTTTCGAGGACGCAGGCAACTTCTCGCCCTTCGAGGTCGTCTCCCTGCTCGCTTCGCACTCGATTGCCCGCGCGGACAAGGTCGACGAGAGCATCGACGCCGCTCCCTTCGATTCCGTACGCCGCTTTTCTTTCCTGCCCGCACACCGACGCTGACCACGCCCTGCAGACGCCCTTCACCTTCGACACGCAGATCTTCCTCGAGGTGCTGCTCAAGGGCACGGGCTTCCCGGGCATGAACAACAACACGGGCGAGGTGACGTCGCCGCTCCCGACGAGCAGCGGCACGGACACGGGCGAGATGCGGCTGCAGTCCGACTTCGCGCTCGCGCGCGACCCGCGCACGGCGTGCTTCTGGCAGGCGTTCGTGAACGAGCAGGAGCTCATGGCCGCGAGCTTCCGCGCGGGCATGGCGAAGCTCGCCGTGCTCGGCCACAACCGCAACAGCCTCATCGACTGCTCCGACGTCGTTCCCCAGCCGAAGCCCGCCGTGAACAAGCCCGCGACGTTCCCCGCGAGCACGGGCCCCAAGGACCTCGAGCTCTCGTGCAACATCCTCCCGTTCCCGACGCTCAGCACCGACCGTGAGTCCCCCGCGGATACATTATGTGGACTGGGACTAACGCGACTGCGCTCCAGCCGGTGCCCAGGAGACTCTCATCCCCCACTGCTCCAACGGCGGCATGTCCTGCCCCGCTGTTCAGTTCGACGGCCCCGCCTAAGCGACCAGCCTCGAAGGCATCTCGCCAACTTACGGTATTTATCGGCACAAGACGTAGACGTATCAGGATTTCATGTCACACCGAGTTTGCGGAATATAAGCTTGTTTTTGAGATCAACGATACACGAATAACCACAGGATGGAGGGTCTACAGGGTAATATTTATGCGGGTGATGTATGCGTACAGGGGACATCTAGTAGTGTCATTGGTGCGAGAGTCTTGCGAGTCGAGAGTACAACCAATAAATTAGATCTCACGCCTCGAGGGTCGCTGCCGCGGCCTCGAGCGCCTGCTCGACGTCCGCGACGAGGTCGTCCGCGTCCTCGACGCCGACCGAGAGGCGGACGAGGTTGTCGGTGATGCCGAGCGCGAGGCGCTCCGCCTCGGGGATGCTGCCGTGCGTCATCTTCGCGGGGTGCTCGCCGAGGGACTCGACGCCGCCGAGCGACTCCGCGAGCGTGAAGAGGCGCGTGCTCGTGAGGAACTTGTCCGCCTGCGCGAGGCCGCCGCGGATGCGGAACGAGAGCATGCCGCCGTACGGGAAGCCGCCGTCCTCGCCGTGCGCGGCGAGGTGCGCGTCGACGAACTTGCGCGCGTGCGGCGCGAGCGAGCGGTACGCGAGCTCGTGGCGCGGGTGCGACGCGAGCCCCGGGTAGATGATCTCCTCGACGTACGGCGACTTCGCGAGCGCGGTGGCGACCGCGAGCGCGTTCGTGCCGTGCGCCTTCATGCGCAGGTGCAGCGTCTTCGCGCCGCGCTGCGCGAGCCAGCAGTCGTACGGGCTCGGGACGGCGCCGATCGCGTTCTGGAAGAAGCGCAGGGTGTTGTTGAGCTCGGCGTGCCGCGGCGGGAGGATGAGCGCGCCCATGACGACGTCCGAGTGGCCGTTGACGTACTTCGTCAGACTGTGCATGACGATGTCGGCGCCCTGGAGAAGCGGGGAGGAGTAGTATGGCGACAGGAAGGTGTTGTCGACCAGGACGAGCGGGTTCGAGGGATGCGCGTGCGCGACGGCGACAACGCGGGGTATATCAATTAGACGCAGCGTAGGGTTCGTCGGGGACTCGATCCATATGAGCTGCGAGGAATGAGCGGCCGCAGTGCAGGACAGGGATTGGGCGGACATACCTTGGTATTAGGCCGGATGGCCGCAGCAATGGTATCATCATCTACGTTCTCCAAATCAAGGAAGGTCGTCTCAAGGTTCTGGTTGACCTTTGCGACCCTGGTCATGTAGCGGAACGTGCCGCCGTAAACGTCATTGACACTGATGATGTGCGCATCCGCTCCCAGCGACTGGAGGACGGTGGCGGTGGTCGAGGACCCCGACGCGAACGCGATGCCGAATGCACCGCCGGTCTCGATCGCGGCGAGGGTCTCCTCGAGCGCATTGCGGTTCGGGTTGCCCGAGCGCGAGTACTCGAAGCCCTGCGCAGAGAAAAGGCCGTCAGCACGCTGCCGCCGCCGGGGAAGACATACACAAAAAGCGCACGAAAAATGCGCGAAAAATTGAAGGCGCCCGCTCACCTTGTGCACGCCGATGGCCTCCTGCCGGTAGGTCGTCGCGAGCGAGATGGCGGGGATGACGGCGCCGGTCTCGGCGTTGGGCTCGGAGCCGACGTGGATGGCGCGGGTGCCGAAGCCGTCGACGGGCTTCTTCACGCCGTTCGCGTGGCCGTTGGTGTGGTGCTCGCCGTGGAGGAGTGCGGGGGACATGTCTGAGCG